GATATGACCAGCTTTAAAATAGACGTGCAGTGTGGGAGGGAACAATTTTAGATCAGTCTGATTGGCCTTGCTTTGCTTTCTCGTTCACTATATGACCACAGTGGAAATATCAACTATATTTCCTACATAAACACATGAAACAACACCAACAACTAGAACCAATCATGTTTAGTGTGAAGCATTTCTTTAGTGTTGTGTAATTCACACACATTAAACATAAAAAGCTCTTTTCATTATATATATTTAGAAAGTTTTCAGCTGAAACTAAATAGGTCTGTCTGACTGGGGCAAATACAAATCTACAGTGATGTGAAAGAGAAAGTACACCCCCTTTCAATCGTAATGTGTTTCACTCACTATTCTGAAACATTATTTATCAATAGACCCTGAGATTAACAACTCAGACACACAATTTCATTATTTATGTACAACAAACTGGGTTAAATTTAAGCAGAATAGGATTCAATAGCTGGATCGGAAAACTTTTAAAACCACCATTATGTCTCTGTGGAAGAATGTTGCCACACTTTTCTTTACAATACTGCTTCAGTCGTTTAGTTCCTTGAGGTTTGTACTCTTTGACTATGTAAAGCTCTCTTGATGTCTGAATGTTGATGAGCTATCGTAAGATCTTGACTCTTTTCTTTCTCAACCATTCTGTGGAAGATCTGCTGTTGCAGGATCTTTTTGTTCTTACATGATTCAGCTTTGGTCAAGCAGTTAGATGTTCGAGAGATGGGCTTACATCGGATTCTAGATTATTTTGGTATACAGTGGTGTCCTGGCTACAAAATCAACCCAAATTATCACCCATGCATCACTGTGCTTGACAGCTATTATGAGGTGCTCATGCTCATATGTTCTGTTTGTTTATCACCAAACTCATGGCACTGTCTATTATGGCTAAAAATCTCCAGCTTGATCTTCTCTGTTCAAAGAACATTGTTCCCAAAGTTTTGTGTTTGCTGAGATGAACAGTACACAGTACAGCAGCAGTCTGCATGGTATTTGATAAAGAATAACATCAATTATAGAATCATTTATAGGAAACATGTTATCTACCCACCATGGTCACAGAACACAATCAGAACATTCTATGTACAGGATAACTGGTACAAATTCATCTTAAAACAGAGGATTATATAGATAAAACATAACACTAGCCTAATACTTCTAGATAATACTAAGCTTTATGTTTGGCCATCAGATAAGGTCAAGGCTCTTCAGTCCATTTATAAGACTACTGTCATGAATTCCTAACAGCCCTGTTTTGTAGTTTCTCTGAATATTGCACAGCCTGACCCTGGGGTGAATTTGCCAGGGTGTCCATTCATGAGAAAATTAGAAACTCTCTCAAATACTTGGCAATTCTTTTTCACTAAAGAATGATGGACTCCTTTTTTTTTTTTTTTTTTTTTTTTGAGGTGGGGGGGCTTCCCCAAGACTGATGGGCAGCAACAACTGCTTCACTAAGATAATTAATTATCCATTAATTACAGGTGACCAATTTGTTAACAATTCTCAAGGTAAATATGAGTTGGGGTTCTTTGGGTTGTTTTTCTTTGTTTGTTTGTTTTTGTTTTTTTTCTTGTCTTGTTTTGTTAATGTCCTAAACAACAGGAGAAGAGAACAGGAAGCATTCGTGTTTAATATAACCAAAACTCTAAATACAAACTGAGTAAGATATCGTGTCAAAGTCATGCAATATGGTATCCACAGAAGTATACAATGCAAATAAAGTTAGCAGTTGTCATCATCCCCTGAGTAACCTCTAAACCACATTATGCTTGCTCAGAATTAAAAGGTATCATAATGTTGTGATGTGGAAATAGGTAGTGGCTGTACAGGTTTTATTGCTTTTTGTTTGCTTGGTTTGTACTCATGGAAACAAAAGGACTGGTTGGGCTTTCAAACAAGGGTATAAATACAAAGGGGATTCTCTTTTCTCTCTTTAACATCACATAGCTGTTATCACTGTTTTATCTATTTTAAAAAAGCAACTCGCAATTAGCATTAGCATTATTTTTATGATTATCTGAGCAGTTAAATGCTATAAAAGGATTTGACCCCATGCCTTATTTAGATTTCATATGAATTGCTTTCTTTATTCAAGGACTTTTCATCAGGCAGAAAACAACTGACTGGCTTTTTATTATTTGAGCCAACCTTTCTGCATCCTTAGGATTTGGTTTGTCTCACCTATACACACTCCATTACGACCATTTTGGATTCAGGAGACAGACATTCTCTATAATTCTAAGATTAGGCTTAAAATTTTACTCAAAAGTTTATACAAGTCAGATTGGATAACGGCTTCGACCTGAGATTGGTTCTGACAGAGGTCTCTTCCTGTTAAAAGAGAATTTGTCATTCCCACTGTCGCCAGCCACTTGCTCTTAGGGCACTGAATGTTGGGATTTTCTTTTAATGTAGTGGAGCCTTTAACTTACAATGTAAAGCACCTTGAATTACACTGAATAAAAGACCATGTTTAAACTCACCCCTTTACAGTTTCAGAACTGTGACTCTCGGCCTCATATCAACACCTACCAATGTCTCAAACCGCCTCTGTGGTTGGTCATGCCACAATAGGTGTGTCCAGGAGTGCATTTTTCCATCACACATAAAGACTCATGCTGCACAGTGTCACACATACTGATGCTTTGTCCTCGTCACACTGTTTGAAATCACCATCTATCCCCTTTGTGCAATTTTCTGCTGTCATGTGTACAGCTCCCAAATGCTATTTTCAAAGATAATGAAGTGTAAGAACTAAGAAAAGTCTGCCTAATAAGGTAAGTGATCTCACAGTTTTCACCTGGGAGACAGATATTTTCTGACTTTTGTTTCTGACTCTGTCACTGTTTAACCTTTGGACAAGTTGTTAGTTTAATTTTATGTAAATAAACCCTTTTATAAATTAACCGCAAATTCGAAGGCAACGTTCTCATGTCTGCAACAGGAATCTTTTTGCGCAGTGGCTACTATTAGCCCTGCCTACTCCAACACTGGATGATATATTACAAAGTGGATTAAAGTGATAGACAGAGCAATATTCAAAAATACTGGTCTCTCAAATAGTGTGGCAAAATCCCTTTCATTTCACTTATAACCCACTTCTATATAGCATATTTGTTATTCACCCAAGTGTATCATTTTCCCAACAAACCTTGATGGATAGGATACATTTAATTATTTGAAAGTTAATTTTGGTCATAGTTCAACTGTTTTTGTAACAGACTATTTAGCTTTGTAGGGTTCAAGTAAGTCATAACCTAGTATTGCTATTTAAGCATCTCAAAGTAATGTATTGTTTTTGCTGTAAGCAAACATTAAGAATCTGCAGTTAGCCTAAACATGATAGAAACAAATGAAAAAAATACAATCAGAGAAATATGGACTGGTTCTTAAATGGACTGCTTCTTCTACTGCGCTTTTCTACTCTACCTGAGCACTCAGAGTGCTTAAAGAATGTTGCATGTAAAAATGAAATAAGAAGGCCTTGTTTTTTT